CAAATATGCAGTTTTCTTATTGGCCAATTGTTGGAGGCGCCTGCGCCAATGGTGCAGTCCCGCCCGCCCGACCCTGTGATGCGCCTGCGCTGCCCGAGCGGTCCTGGGATAGCGATGGAGACGCCGGGCGTATCCGCCCCGGCCCGGTTGCTCCCTGCTGGGTCTGGGCCCCGTAGGAAGCGCGCGACTGGGGAGGCTGGGGCTACAACGAGCAAGCAACGGATCCTAGACGAGGAAGAGTATATCGAGGTACGACCTTGGTGTGGACGCAGGCGATGTTCTGGTCCCTCCCCCGCCTTGCGCTCCTTCTCGGGTCCCTTCTCTCGAGTCTTGGCACTGCCTGCTCGTCGTGGAAGTGGATCAGCCCGAGTCCCTGCCCTTGGGGTGTGGACGGTCCCAGGAGCCGAGTGAACAGTGCAAGGGAGGTGTCCTGGATGGGGGGAGGTTCTAGCAGTGTGGTAGGGGGGTGGGGAGTGGCTCAGTTTGTGTGTGATGGGGTCAGGGAAATAAGGGTTTCTATTAAAGTGCGAGTAGGAGTTTGACTGGAAGGATGGCGGCAAAGAGGGCTTTCTGGAGAGCGGTAACAAGGGTCCTGGAAAGAGGGCGGTTGTGGCGGCATCTTGAGTGAGTGGCCGTCTGTCGCCCCTGGAAGTAGGTGTTGGTCCTACCGCAAGTACGCGGGAGCTGGCAGGAGGGTTGGAGGAAGTCAGTTTGGTTTTCCACTAGTTAAATTTGGGACGCCTTTGGGATAGACGAACGGTGGGTTTAGTGGACAGCTGGGTGCACAGATTTGCAGCTCAGGAGCAAGGTCTGGATGGAGGTTCACACTGGGGAATCTCAACTGGTGGCGGTGGTGGCGACTGGCTGAAGTCACGCAGGAAATGGGTTTCGAGTGGAAGTAGAAGGTCACAGGTGGAAGGAAGGTGGCAACACTCATATTGGTTTGGCTGGTGTGACAGTGGAGCCAGTAAAGGAGAGCAAGAAAGACGAGTTAGTGAGAGGAAAGAGAAGGGTTTTGTGGACACGATAGGGGGATTTAGTAATGTTAGAGGTTGCAGCGCGGCCACCACATGGAGTGTTGAACCTCACTAGAAAGTGCCCCGAAGTTGTCTCAAGCAAGCTGCAATTACTGTGGAAGGCAGAAGTTGAAGGAGGTTCAGCAAGGGCCATAGTATATACAGCGGCAGACTGTGAGGCAGGGGTGCCCAGATGGCAGCTCTGACTTTGGTTCTGATCTCCCGGCAGGGCCTCCAGACAGTCATCCAGAGGGATTTCTTTCCTGATGTGGAGAAGCTGCAGGCCCAGAAGGAGTACCTGGAGGCCGAGGAGAATGGAGACTTGGAACGGATGCGCCAGATTGCCATCAAGTTTGGTTCTGCCCTGGGCAAGATGTCCCGAGAGCCCCCGCCACCCTGTAAGAGGACCCTGTGCGTGGCAGAGAGGGGAAAGCCTGCTGAAGTGTCGCCTCAGGCTCGCTCTAAAATGTACCCCCTTTTTATCCCCCAGATGTGACTCCAGCCACATTTGAAACCCCTGAGGTGCACACGGGCACTGGAGTGGTGGGCAGCAAGCCCAGGCCCCGAGGCCGAGGCTTGGAGGATGGTGAGTGAGAGCTCCCTCTTGGTCGCATGGTCGGGATTGCCTGGGAATCTTATCCCATGAGGCCCTGAGAGGGTGGTCTGGAGGGCTGCAGGTCGCATCTTGTCCCCGAGGGGTCTCCTCGCCTGAACAGCAACCCGTGAAGTCAAAGAGCACTGATCTAGGAGGCAGAAGATCGGAGTCCAGCACCCAAATGTGGTTGGCCTCTGTGGACTGGGAACCTCACCACCTCTCTCGCTGGCCTGCTCGCTGTGCGCCAGCCGCTGCCCTGTGGCCTTCATGGGCGTTGGGAGGCTCCTTTCCTCACTGTCTCCTGAAGATGCCTCAGGGCCTCTACCTTTGTTTCTTCCATGTTGGTCACTTTCCCCACATAATGGCACGGCTAGTTACTTCTCTTTCTTCAGGTCTCTGCTCCGATGTTGCTTGTTCAGGGAAATCTTCCCTGATCCCCCAGTGCAAAGTCACAGCACCCCTGTGCCCTCTGGCTTCCAGCCTGGCTTTGTTTTTTTACTGCAGGATGTGACATTTCATAAAAAGCATTTCTACTTGTGTATCATCTCTCTCCCTAATTAGCATCCCTTCCACAAGAGCAGAGACTTTGTCTTGCCTCCGTCTGTATGCTCCGCACCTGGAACAGCGCATGGGTGTTGTGGGCCTTTGACAAATATCCGTAGAACAGATGAACTTGTTGTCTTTTTCAATATGTTTACTGGGGTGTATGACACACAGGTGTACGTGCTAACACCCGACTTTATGAGGGGCCTTTTTAGGAAAGGGCGTCTGAGTCCTGTTGAGTATAAGTGTGTTGCGCGCTGTGGTCAGTCGATTTCTCAGCGGATGAGATGGACAAGCTGCTATTTTTTACTGGATTTTAGTCTACAGTAGGATATACCAGCACAGATGTGCTGTGTGTTGACACAATGTGATGTTTCCTGCTTTACAATCTAATTCTTTCTACCATTAACACAGTCCTTGTTGTTGTCCTTGGGCCTTGATTCTTTATTGAAATGCGGCTTGTGAGTCACAGGGCGCTTTGCAGGTTCTTTTTATACCTTCACACCTTACACGTCAGTAAACACAGGAATCATTTCCATAATCCAAGTGGTGGGTGCTACTGTCACTCGTGTTTATAGCCCGGGAACCTGAGACTCAGGAAGGCAGTAACTTCTGTAGGTCTCCTAGATGGTCAGTGGTGGAATGGGGTTTGAATCCTTTTTCTGACCCCAGGTCTTGAACTTGTAGCCACTGTGCTTTGTGCACAGTCTGGAATGTAGCAGGTGGTGGGTCAAGACTGTCCCTAGAATGGAAGAAAAAGCCATCCTCCAGATGTCCTCACTGGGGTTTGCATCACCGCACACAGCACCAGGATGCCACCTCAGCAGGGTTCCACTCTCCATGGTGGTAGGGGTAGCTGGGGTTGTGGGGCCCCATCAGGAGCACTGGGTCATATGGCGTCCCTGTCATCGGGGCTAGTTGGCAGGTCCAGACGCTTAGGTGACAACCACCTACCTGTAGTACAAGTACCGTGAGGGAAGCGTGGTTAGGGTAAGGAAATCCCAGAGAGGGTGGGAGAGCCCTGGGGGCTTTGGAGGTAGATCCTACAGGCTAGGCATAGTTTTGGTTAGGGAGGAGCCTACTTATGGTCACTCTTGCTCTAATGCCTGGATTGCTCCCCACTCCCACGTCTGAATCAGATGACACATTTCCCTCGGTGTCCAGCAGGCGAGCAGAGTTGGCCAGGGGGCTGCAGGGTGCAAGCTGAGGGCTCCCTGGCCAGTCAGGGTGGGCTGATCCCACTCCTACGAGGAGTCCTTTGGGAGTGTGGGCTCTCATGGACAGGAGCCAGGCCCGGGGGTCGGGATTCCGGTCATGCTTGGAGGGTGGTGTGATTCCTGGGGCTGGGCTTGCTGGTCTCCCCTGACTGCAAAGTGGTGTTTATGCCGTTTGTGGTCTGTGTTTCTCCCACCTGCAAACTCCTGAGCAGGAGAGGCTGGCGAAGAGGAGAAGGAGCCTCTGCCGAGCCTGGACGTTTTCCTGAGCCACTGCACAAGCGAGGACAATGCCTCCTTCCAGGAGATCATGGAGGTGGCCAAGGAGAAGAGCCGGCATGCCACGCCTGGCTCTACCAGGCTGAGGAGGAGTCTGAGAAGGTATCCCTGGGCACCGGGGCGTAGACACTCTCAGTTGGGGTTGGAGCAGCCGCAGGCACAGTGCCTGGGGGCATCTCTGACCATGAGTTTTGCCCACTTGGTTGCAGAGGGAGAAAGATAACCTCGAGCTCCCATCGGCAGAGCATCAAGCTGTCGAGGGCAGCCAGGCAGGCGTGGAGACCTGGAAGTACAAGGCCAAGAACTCCCTCATGTACTACCCCGAGGGTGAGCGGGCAGGGCCTGGCAGCTCGGTGGGGAGGCGCAGGATGGAGCCATGTACGTCTGGCTCTGAGTTCGGTCAGCCTTCAGGGCACACGTACGTGCCGCTTGCATTCTGGTCCTCGGAGAGGTCCTAGTCTGTTCGAGGTCGACGGGGAGTGAGGCCGTCTCCAGCTGCAGTCGGGGTCTGAGCTGAGCTCGACGCTTCTGTTCGGCAGGAGTGACTTGGCTGGGAGAGTGAGCCTGCTCCTGCCCCTCAGGCCCCTGGGCTGCTGGGCTGATCTGGGGCTTGCCCACCCCCCTGACACCTGCTACGTCTCTGCTTTGTCTGCCAGGTGTCCCTGAGGAAGAGCAGCTGTTTAAGAAGCCCCGGCAGGTGGTGCATAAGAACACACGCTTCCTTCGGGACCCCTTCAGCCAGGCTCTGAGCAGGTGCCAGCTCCAGCAGGCGGCTGCCCTCAATGCCCAGGTGAGCAGTGGGCCGGCAGGGCCACATGGGGCTAGGTGTGGCAGTGCTGGCTGGGGCAGGCACAGCCTCTTCGATTTCCTTGGGCTTGGTGGAGCTCAGTGGGTAGAAGCATCTGGGGCCCCGTGTGGCGGGGTCTTTTCTTGGCCCATGTGGGCTCCCACTGGGCACTGTCTTGGCCAGACACGGTCTGTGGGTCCAGATCTGTGCCAGCTCCCTTGATGGCGGAGGC